AAATTAGTAATTAGAAAATCTTCGTCAAGGATCGGTTGCAATCCTCCACTCGATGATCTCCAATTGCTCTTCAATTGCTTCAATTAAGGTGTCCAATATGCGTTCTATGTAGTCTTCTACCGTATGGTCAATCCTCGGGTTGACGTCGAAGAAGGTTGAATGAAGAATGTGCACGAAGCCGTGTTCGTCGTAGGCAAGTCCGTAATCAGTCGGGATCGGCCATTCATGAATGCTAGATGATGATCTCCTCCAAGGGGTGATAGTAATCTTGAACTCTGTTGAAGAGAAAGAAGTTTCTTTTCAACTTGAAGTGGGATGACAAGGTGTGGCCGGGCAAGGGATGAGGGTTGGGATAGGAGTAGTTGGTTAAGCAGGGAAGAACAAGTTAAAAATCTGAAATAAATTTCAGATTTTTAATTGTGAGGGATTTAGGAATTAATTTGAATTTTAATTCCAATAGGAGAGGCTTTAATTTGGGAAAGAAATCAAGAGGTGGGGCATTGGGGGTTTCGGCCAAGTAAAAGAAGGGGGCAAGTGTCTATATGCAATGTATTTGGAATTAGAGATTTAATTAATCAATCCATCATAAGTTGATTGATTGATTTAAATTAAGACCCTTCCAAAATAGAATTAAGAGGAAACAGGAAAGATTTGAAATCTGGATTGGATTTATTTCAAATTCAAATACTTTCCAAAATCAAGTGAAGTTAAATAAGGAAGGGTGAGGGAATTTGGAAATAAATCCAATTGGATTTAATGAAGCGGTCCGGCGGCTTGATTGGGCTAGGAGGGATTTATGGGGGAGATTTGAATTGCTATTTTAAGACTTAGAAATTAGGAAAGTTGTAATTAAATCCTAATTGATTTGAGATTCAAATAGGATTTAATTTAGGAAACTTTCCTAAGATAGATTTAGTAATTTAGGAAAGATTTTAAATTTCAAATTGGAGGAATTTGAATTCAAAATATGCCCCAAATTAAATCAATCTAAATAGGCAATAATTCAAAGAGGAGGGAAACTAGGGGGGGGGGTGGTATGGTTGCTGGCGGTTGGGTGGTGTTGGGGTGAAACCGATGGGAGTGGGGGGGGGGGATTAGGGGGGGGGGGGGGGGGATTAGGTGGCCGACGGCTTAGGGTTTTGGGGAGGACCGTAGGCCGGCGGCTAGGTGACGAAGAAGAGGGAAAATTAGATAAAGAAAAAGAAGAACCACGAACCCGACTATCTTCAAGGTTGGTGGGTGATCCAATTTTTCTTTCCTAGGGATTCCTCTCCCAAGCACTCTCAAGTCTCACAAAGAACTCAAGCAAAGAAAATTTATCATTCAGTAATTCCTTAATTCTCAAAGAAAAACATAGGGGCTATAAATAGCCTCGTACATAAGACTCAAAATAGAAAAGACGACAATGCCCTCAGGGCTTACATACGACATCTCTTAATAAAAGGGTACAACGGGAAACAAATACAACAACATCATAAATAAAAATACTTAACATAAATAAAAAATTAAAATACATAATATAAATAAAAAATACCATGACTCAATCGTGGCCGTAGATAGGCGGCCACACCTTTGATAAACCTTCTATGATCTGATGTCCCTATCACATTCCCTTCACCCAGATTGTGACAAATTATCCCTTCATGTCATTTAGCACATCTTTCTCCATTGTTCTTGTAATAAAAAAGATTATGTGTGACAATCCTTCAATTGGAAATAGATATTTCTCTGTTGAAATTAATTTTTATGAGTCATCTTATTTACTTCACTTTTGCTCATCTCCTACAAACTATCTTTAGCCCTGATACTTAGTCCTCCCTCCTTGTAGGTTTGTATTCATAAGGCCTTCACTGCTCCTTTTGTAGCGACTCTTCTTACTCATCTATTATAGCTGAGTTTATAACTATAACAGAGCTTTCAAATCTCCAATTTCCCATTGCTCTTTTCAAAGGTAAATGCCAATGGACTAAGTCACTAATCATCCATTACAGTTCTTGATTTCATTTGATCATCTCTCTTCTTCTTCTTTTTTTCAGTTTTCCCTGTTTTCTATTATTTTTGTTCCCATGACTTGCTAGCAGGTCCTGCTGAACCGTAATTAGAGAGAACTTATGGATAATGAATTGGGTGCTCTTCTGGGTCTTATGTGGGAATTGGTTCCACTTCTTTTTAAACCTATTTCTTCTTGATGGGTCATCACTATTTAGTTCTATCTTCATGGTTCTATTGATCTGATGATGAAAGGATGTTGTTAGATCCATTGTAATGACTACTTTGAGACTTTTTCACCAATTTCCTGACTTAACTTTGAATTGCCTTCTCTCTATTAACATTAAACAAGGGTGAATTATCATACAAATGGGTGTTAGTAATGATTCCTCAAGAGATCTTATTGAATAGTTTATATGGAGCAACCTCCTAGGTATGTTACTTACCTGAGAACAAAATATGCAAGCTTTATAAAGCTACATATAGGTTGAAGCAAAGTATTTGTAAAAAAAAAAAAGCTCTGTTGGCATCGAGTTTGCATATAACAAGGAATGTATTTCTCTTTCAAAGAAAATATGCTACAAATCTTCTGGAAGAAATTGAACTTTGGTGCAAACTTGGTGAGTTTCCAATGGAAACTCTACAATCATTCGAGTATGATGAATGCTATGACGTCCCTTCTCATTATTGCGTCTTGTTGGCAAACTTATCTATCACTATCACTCAATAGGATATATCCGTTAATGCTGGTGTGGTCATTTAGCATCTGTAAAATCCAAATAATATACACTGAGAAGTTACCCTATCGATTTTAAGATATCATGAAATCTCCATGAAAAGGTCTAGTCTATCATAAATATAATCGTTTGAGTATTAAATCATTTTTCAATGCAGGCTATTTCGATCTATTAGGGATCATTAATCTACTTGTAGATATTGTTTTTTGTAGTTAGAAATCATGTTTCTTGGAAAAGTTAGAAGTAGATGGTTGTAGCTTGGTCCAGTGATGAAACTGGTTGCAAAACTATGACACATTTTAATTGCTAAATGAGGATCAACAGTCTAGTAGAAAAATCTGGTTTTCCTATGAAACAGACCATGATTCTTAACGGTGATAATTGGACAGCTATCTATATTTCAAGCAATCATATAATTCAATAATTCATAATAAAATTAAACACATGGAAGTTGTTAACTTTATGAATATTATATAAGATCATCATTGTTAACAACAATTGACTAATCTCTCTGCCAAAGCTTTGAACTCTATTTACTTTATTTTGGTAACGAGCTAGAAATTATTGATATTTGCGCCCTTGCTTGTGGTGATTATTGTCATAGGAAAATTATTAGATTGGAAAATGCTAATCTGGATAGTAGTAGAATTAGGGAGATATGTTTTTCTTATGTTTTCCTATCCTCCTAATTGATAATATTTTCATACTGACTTTGTTTTGAATTCTTCATGTATGCCTATTTATGCACACCTGATTTCAGTCAATAAACACAAAAGAATTTGTTTATGACATGGTTCAAAAAATCAATAATGCGATGAGAATTTTTTTCCTTGCAATAAGTAGTAGACGTGTCAAAGATATATTCAGTTAGATATGATCATAAGATTTATAATCTTTTAGCTTTCTTGCGATATCCCTGTGATTGTTGAAGCAAATGATTAGCTATATAAATTTCACTTGTTTAGAAGAGAAGGGAGTCCAAGCAAGTATGATCGATGTGAATAGTCGACAATATTTTGAAAAACAAAAATGAATAAACATAAGGGAAGCAAATACGTCTCATCAAATACATTGAACAGTACATGCGTCGCTGCACTCAAAGAACAACAGGCTTTACTTATCTTAGTTTTGTCCTAGTTAATTTATTCCATCCACATATATCTCAGAAAATCCATTTTTTATTTTATTTTTTTAATAATTGGACAGTTCATTTGGTTTATTTCATGTACTATCTTTGTGCATCCAGAAGTTTTTTCCAGTTATCCAATACATATCTGATCCTGTTGTGGCTCCATTGGAGAAGTATAAATGATTCTTTTGTGGCGGTGAGATCACCATATAACTTGTTTGTCCTATCAATCCGTGGCAGATACCGTTCAATGTAGAGCTTCTGTCTTGTTGAGAGTTGTTTCTATAAAACATTGGAGCTGAGAAATTTTGCTGGCTGTGATAATTAAGTCCCTTAGAACATCGTAGTCAGTTAGTCTACGTAAATGATACCTGCCTAGTCCATTGGTTTCTGTAACTAAACCTTTTTATTGATCTGCCGAAAACTGGCCTCAATTTTTCTTTGATAGCTCAGTTCATGGTCCCCGTTTGCGTAAAGCATGATTTCTTATTCATCCTATTTCCAGTTAATTGGGAAACATTCAGTTATTGCAACAACTCGCACGTTTTGTCTTCCCAGGAAATAATAATATATCTTCAGTTGAAATGAATAGTTGTGAGAAAGTTAGCAATGATGATGGTGACGAAATAAAAATTTATCCATAATGATTATCGAAGTGGCAACAAAAATGATGCGCATGTTTCATCTGAATTTGTATTTGAAAATTTTAAATGTCTATATTTGAATATCATAAATAATGCAAGTAATGTGTGCGACTCATTGATCAATAATGGCTATATTAAGCTCAACAAAATTTGGTGTACTTTTAATAAGAAAATTGGGATAAAAAAGTGATTTTGCGTGCTTAATAATGGTTTTCTGTTAATCAAATTGGCATCCTTACAAGAATTGGTATGTGCCGTTTTCACAGGTTTCTAGTGCCTTCACCTTCAAAATTTAATTGGTTATTTTATGTTTATGGTGCATATTATATATTCTATTACTTGTTTTATATTTATTGCTCACTGGCTAAGCTATTTATTTGTTTTCTGGTTTAATAATTAATTTAGTTCTAGCATATATACTGTGGCCAGAGTGTTTGCTTTTATCCTCTGCTGAGTTGAAGTATCCTTTTTTGGATTTTCTTATGATGGGGTTAATTTCAGGACATTCCTATATGGCTACGACCTTCCATCTATAAGGCTTGGGCGAGGGCATTTCATGCAGGTTTTTTTCTTCCATATCCTAATTGCATAGATTTTGTTTAATTTTAATTTGAAAGTTCCTCATAAACTTGCTATGATACAATTTTGTATGGACTTATATTTTTGCGGAAATTTTTATTAAACTTTCCTATTGATCAAGTAGAACATGTTTTTCTATGGTTAAATATCGCATTTCAACATTAATATCTTATGAAATACAACAATGGACATATTTTGCTATGTTCTCGTTGTCTAGCTTTTGGTTTATTAATTTTGTTTAAGAAAACATTCTAGTTCATCTTTAAATATTAATGAATATTTAATAATTGAAATTTACGTAGATCTGCAAAATCAGCGTTGTAACTACAAAGAATGTTAATTTTTAAAACGGCTGACAATTAAAATTGCTGAACTTAACATCTTTTTTGTCATCAGCTGCAACAGCGTGATTGTTATCAGCCTTATTTGGTTTTGGCTCTATGAATTCTGCTTCATCCTATAAGTGTTACATGCTGGGTTAATTTTAATTTAAGGGGCGGATTGGTTGCAGGTATTAGCAGCATAAAATTTATTTTTCCTTGCATTTTTTTGGAGTAAACTAAAATGAAATGATCTGCATGGAGATTTGTTTGGAAACCCCTAGAATGCACATTTTTATGAAATTTGGATTTTGCTGAAATTGGTAAATTCTAAATGCAAGTAAAACTCAGTAACCTCATCTTCTTTTACCCCGATCTCCTTCTGTTGCCTCCTCAACCACTAGCCGTTGGCCGTAGCCTGTCACTCCTTGCTAACCATTCTTCACTTTCCACCATTGATTTCCATTATTGAGATATTGCCCTCTCGAACGCCGGTGCCGCCCATTGTCGCCAACAGCTATCCGCCATACGTGGTTGCCACCTTAGTTGCTTAATTTTGTTTTTATTTCCTTTAATGTGTATCATAAAAAAAAAAAAAAAACAGATCCCCCCAAATAACTCAATACTTTTAAATTACTCTGCAGTCTGCATTTTGAAAATAAATATATTTTACAAACATCAAACCAAATAGCCCTTAAATATTTTCTTTTCACATCTTCTGGCTATGCTATTTTTAGATGTATCCCTTTTCCTTCATATTCTTCCGTAGTTGTTCTTTTTACCCTTATTATTGCCGCATTTTTCATTCTTTGTCGTGCAACAAAATGATTCAAAGTTTTGTTTCCATAACATTTCCATCAACAGAAATTATCCTTGCAGCCTATCTAATCTTGCGCTCTCTATTATAGCTACTCTATTACCTTATGCTCATCTTAACATTCTCTTGTCTCCTACAGTCAATTAGGTTTAGTTGTTTCTTCATTTCTGAATGCTCAGGCTAATGCTAGTAATGGTATTGCTAATTTAAACGCTCTACTCTTAATTGTTTTATTTTATGTTGTTTTATTTTCTTTTTAACCTTTTTTTTTTTTAATTTTCTTTAACATATTTTATTTTCAATATTCTTGATTTGATTTTTAGTTTTCTTTAAAATGCTTATTTTTTGTTTTCTTTTTTAAAATTCTTTTTTATTTATTTTTAATTGATTTTTTTATTTTCTTTTGGGGCTTATGTTCTTTATTTTTTTCAACTGTTTGTTGATAGGTTAGGGCATATTTAGGAATTATCTTTAATTCTATGAGATTGTTTTTTGGTTTGAGGCGTAGGCCTTGAGACTTGTACCTTGTCTTGATATGACAAAGTACCTTCAGTTCTTTAGTTGACCTTTTAAATCTTAATTAATAGGAAAGCAAATACTTTAGATGATAAGGATAGATTAATAATTTAATCCAGTTTAGTTTCTAACAAACAAAGCTTTTTATATGAAGAATTTTTCTGATTTGTTCTTCTTATGCTTTATGAGTGAGAGGTAAATTCTCATGTTATGTTGTGTATTTCTTCTGAATAATCCAATAGCTTTTTATTGCTTATTCTTTATTAAATTTTCATATTGCTTCTTGTTAACTGAGTTTTCGTCACCTGCTTGGTTGTAGATTTGGAGGAAGCTGCCTTACCACTTGAAGAATACGCTACTCTGCAGGACTTTTTCATTCGCAGTCTTAAAAGTGGTTCACGCCCAATTGATCTAGATTCTAACTGTCTGGTAACTGGTAACTAGCTGCATTTCAATATTTTGTATTTTATGCTGAGTATAATATTTCTGTGACTTTTTCTTACTAGAAGTATTATATTGTGAAAATAGGTTAGTCCTGTGGATGGCACAGTCTTGAGATTTGGAGAGCTTAGAGGACCAGGGGCATTGATTGAGCAAGTCAAAGGCTTTTCTTATTCAGCTTATTCTCTTCTTGGTGCAACCACTTCTCTTCATGAAATAGTTGATACGGACGCACCAGAAGAACATTCAGAACACAGTTTCACTGAAGAACGGCACAAAACATCATGGTTGCGGATATCGTTGGCGTCACCAAAAATTCGAAATCCAATTTCAGCAAGGTGCTTTATTTCATATTTTTATCTTGGATAAGATCATTTTTCTTCTCCTTGACTTGCCAACTTACCTACCTTTTCAATTAGAAGATCTCTTGCTAATTAACATTAATAAAGAAAATTATTTTTTACACAATTGAATTATACACTTTTTTCCTCGACTGGGAGATTGGGGAATGTAATATGCTCTGGGATGCAATGTTTCATGTTTAGAACTTTTATTTTATTATAATAGCTCTAAGAGTTGATTTAGTGTGCTCTTGCAAATGTAATTTAATATCACATTTTGGTAGAAAGTGTTGGTGGACACTTTGAACATTTAAAATTAATGGGCGCACAACTAAACATAATATCTCTTGTTGCTACTTTATTGGATGAATGATAACAAAGAGAAAGTACCATTTTGAATTCGTGGTTCACAACAATCACCAGCACAGAATTTAAATTTAAAAAAATGTGGCAACATTGGTTATGGCAGAATTCATGATTCATTTATTGACATACCTTATTGGTTAAAAGCTCTGTGACTTGATCGCATAATGACCATAAAATAGGACTTATCGCCACCTTGATTAGACATCAGACTTTCACTCAAATATTTCTATCAAGAATGTATCCAGTTTTTTATATTAAGTAGTTTCATCTTTGAACTTGGATGCAGGATTATATAGCCAGTCTATGTTTTTTTTTGAATAAAAAAATGCAAGAAAAGATCAAAAATTAAAAAGCTTTATTATAAAAATTGATTTATGTATAGAAGTTAAAAACAATTGGGAAAGATATAAAAAAACCTGTAAGGAGTTCAAGAAAGTAAGATGCAAAGCAAAGAATTTGGCTTTTAATTATTTATATAATATATTATATATTAAGAAAGATGAAAGATATAAGTATAAGTTGGTTAAAAAAATAGATAAGAGAATGATTTAGTTCAAATAAATAGCATTAAGGATGAAGATAAAAACAGTTTTTATTAGAAGAGAATATTTAACAAAGGTGGATGAGATATTTTGATAAGCTTTTCAATGAAGATTGTGAGAATACAATTGACTTTTATGACCTTAGCATCCTAAATAAAAATAGTGATTTCTGTTTTTATCGACGTATTAGTAAAACTGAAGTTAGAGAGGCTTTATCGAAAATGAAGTGTGGAAAAGTTGTTGGACTTGATGATATTTTAATAGAGTTGTGGAAATATTTAGAAGATGAAGAAATTTCTCGACTTATGAAACTTATTGGTACTATTTTGAAGACAAAAAAGATGCCAGATGTGTGAATAAGGAGTGTGTTGATTCCTAATTTAAAGAATAAATGTGATGCACAAGAGTGTGCGAATTAAAGGAATTAAGTTAATGTGTCATACTTTAAAATTATGGGAGTGAATTATTGAGCATAGGTTACGACATGATGCTAATGTTTTTTTCAAAACCAATTTGGGTTTGTTAGAATTCATAGAATTTGAGAAAGGTAAAAATATCTTCTACTTATTATACAAAATTATTCCTATTTATAGATCTATACAAGATGTCTTGATAAAGAAATAAATAACGTCTAATTGATACATAATTGCCTCAATATAATCCTTCCTAATTCAGCTACCCAAATATAGAAGGATATTGGCGTGATCCAAGTGAGCCTCTCACGGATTCTCATCCTGACCGTGGGATCAAATGCCAAGGGATGACTGAGATTTTGAGACTCCCCCTCAAGCTGGAGACCAGCTTGCAATTACTCGCTCAGAGGTAGAGCTGCATTGGTTATGGATAGGATATCAACCACCAGAGAAAGCCGGCAATGAAGGCCGATGATGGAAAACTATCGTCAAAATTCCGACAATTAAGGTCGGTTGTGGGAACCTGTATTTCTCATAATTCCAGCAATAAAGGTCGGTAGTGGGAACCTTTATTTCTCATAATTCCAGCAATGAAGGCCGGTAGTGGGAACCCGTATTTCTCAGAATTCCAGCAATGAAGGCGGTGGTGGGAACTTTGTATTCCTTTGAAATTCAGCAATGAAGTCTTCTTGGAGAAAATTTCCCTTGTCGACAATAAAGGTCGCCGATAAAGATTCTATCTTTTTTTCACTAAAAAAGATTTTTTTTTTCTATCCGACAATGAAGGTCGGTTTTTTTTTTTGGAAAAAGTACCTTCCCGATTAAATAAACAAATAGGGCCGCCGACTTTTTAAAAGAGTCGGACCGGGTAGCTTAAGGTGCGCACGCAGGGACTTAAGCGGGAGCAGCTCGAGCTTGCGGCTTTGCTCCTTCGACGACTTCCCTTCGTCGACTTCGCTACTTCGTCGGCTTCGCTCCTTCATCGACTTCCCTTTCGGTCGGATCGGGAGCAGCTCGAGCTTTCGTCGACTTCCCTTTTGCTACTTCGATCGTGCCTGGCGAAATCGGAGCCTCCGTATGCGGAAGTAACTGGCGGAACCGAGGCTTCCGTCTGTGGCGGCTCCTTGCAAGATCGAGGGCTTCGGTTGCGGAATTGGGTCGGCAGCCTTTCTTCTGCGGCGACGTCTTGTAGCGTCATAAGGTTGGATTGTTCGGCGATGAGGGCCGGTGGATTGGTTCTGATACCATGTTAGAATTCATAGAATTTGAGAAAGGTAAAAATACCTTCTACTTATTATACAAAATTTTTCCTATTTATAGATCTATACAAGATATCTTAATAAAGAAATAAATAACGTCTAATTGATACATAATTGCCTCAATATAATCCTTCCTAATTCAGCTACCCAAATATAGAAGGATATTGGCGTGATCCAAGTGAGCCTCCCACGGATTCTCATCCTGACCGTGGGATCAAATGCCAAGGGATGACTGAGATTTTGACAGGATTCATGTCGGGTAGGTCTACTATGGAATCTATACATTTATTAAGAGATTTGATGAGAAATATAGAGATAATAAGGAGGATCTACAAATGATATTTATTGATTTAGAGAAAGCATATGATAAAGTTCCCAAAGAAGTGCTCTGGAGAGTTCTAGAAAAGAAAAGGGGTTAATAATGCTTATATTCAAGTCATTAAAGATATGTATGCATGAGCCATTACTTTTGTTCAAACACAAGGTGGTTCGACTAAGTATTTTCTTATTTTAGTTGGTTTACATCAAGGATCAGCTTTAAGCCCATATCTTTTTTGCTTTAGTCATGGATATTCTTACTAGATATTTGCAAGATGATGTACCCTGTTGTATGCTTGTTGCTAATGATATTCTTCTTGTTGATAAGACTAGAGAGGGAGTTGAAGGTAAACTTGAATTATTGAGGTCAACCTTAGAGTCTAAAGGTTTTCGTTTGAGTAGATCTAAAACTGAATATATTGAAGGTAATTTTAGTAATAATAGATTTAGTGGGGGGATTGTGACTTTGGTTGATCAAGTCATTAATAAGAGTACACATTTTAGATATCTCGGGTCCATTGTTCAAAGAGTTGGTGAAATAGATGTGGATATTGTTAATATAATTTAAGTTGGATGGTTGAAGTGGAGGAATGCATCGAGCCTGTTGTGTGATAGAAAAGTATCCCACAAACTTAAGTGAAAATTCTATGAGTAGTGGTGAGACTTGTAATGCTTTATGACACAAAATGTTGGCCATTAAAAGTGAAGCAAAAAATTAAGTGTTGCGGAGATGAGGATATTCAGATGGATGTGTAGCTTCATTGTTATGGAAATAATGAGAAACGAGTATATTTGTGAAAAAGTTGGGGTAGCTCTAGTGGAAGATAAGATTAGGGAGAGTTGCCTTAGATGATTTGGTCACATAAAAAAAATGTCAGTCTTCGGATGACCTAGTTAGGAGAATAGACGTATTAGATTTGGCCTATAATAAAAAAGGTAGAGGTAGACTTATAATACTTGGGTAGAAAGTATTAGAAATGACATTTTTTAGATTTAAATGTAATTTTGACTCTTAACAGGACACAATGGCAAAAAGGGATTCATATAGCTGACCCCACATATTGGGATAAAGGCTTGATGTTGTTGTTGTACCAAATTATTTCTGCTTAATACTATTACATTGCTTACCATAAAGTTATTTGCAGCCCCAGGAAAGGTGTTTTTTACTGTGTTTTATATTTACATCCTGGTGACTATCATCGAGTGCACTCTCCTGTTGATTGGCAAGTGCTTCTTCGTCGTCATTTCTCTGGTATTCTCTCTTTCTACCTTTTTTCTGTGATAATATCTTTCTCATTTGGATGTGATGATGATTTTTGTACTACTATTTTGAGCCGTCCAGATTCAGCAAATAGGCTACTAGCTTTTATCGTAGTTCCAGCTCCATATGGGAATGGTAGCTACAAAAAGAAAAAAAATAAAGGAAATACAAAGAATGGAAATAAATGAATGCCGAGTATGCTCCTTTGAATTTAGTTTTGGCATTATGAAACCTGTAAAGCCAAGGGTGCACCATGTATTGTAGTTTTGATGTGGTACTTGTTTTAAATAATATGAAAAATATATATTCATCTTGCAGTTAAGCTATAATATTAAGTTAGGTGTGTTAAGCTTTAATATTAAGTTAGGTGTGTGGATGTTACAAGTATAGATGGCCATATGATATTTATTTGATCGTGTGTTTTGGTCTCTAATTGTGTTCTTATTTCAATGGTAAATATTCTGTGGTGATGATGATGATGTTGATAAATGCATTCTTTTAAAATCGCAACTTTCTCATATCCATTAGAGAATTGGTTTCCTTTGCATTTCTTCTTTATTTATGAATTTTTAGCTTGTGGGCTAGGCAGGGGTTTAGGGAGCCTTTATTATGATCTGGAGGTTCTGGACAAATAGATTTTCTCTATAAATGCAGGGATAGGTTTCCTTGCATGGCATTTCAACTCCTTGCCAGACCTCATATGGGCGTGGACTTCTTGCATTTATGTTTTGTTGACAATTGTAAATATTCATGCATCAGATCTATGAGCAAAAAAGATGAACAATTTCTTCGCTGGCAGATTTTGGCTCTACATTGGAAAAATGAACCTTCCAAATAGTTTCTAAAGAGGGTGTGCTGTGCTGAAATTTCGGCCGTTTCCATTTTTTATACTATTTAATCATTTTGAAATTGTTTTTAATCTTTATACTCAAGGGGCCAGGAAACAAATATTTGGTCATTGTTATTCTTTGCATTATTAGATTTCATTTTTTTTCCTTTCAAAAGAGGGGTTGTCCGAATCTTCTCTCGTCACTCTCAACTTTAGGTTGTCAAATTCTCGCTCCTTTTAGGAGAAGGATTGCCCGATCATCTCTAGTCGCCATTGGCTCCAAGTCATCTAGTTCTCTCCTAGCAGAAAGATAAAAATGTTAAGGATTGTCCAAGTCTCATCATCGCTTGTCAACCTAAAAGGACATCAAAAGAATTAATTTATTTCTTTGGCAACATCAATATCATCATATGCTCCACTTTACGTAGCTTCCTGGAGGGTGCACCAATGAGTGACCTTTAGAGGGCTCCTAGCGTTGCATGGGAACCTCATTAAAAATCTCCAAGACTGGCTTTTAAAGACGACCGTGAGGAGGGCATGTGAACATATATAATTTGTCTTATTCAAAAACCTGGAAGGGCTCTTTATCACATGAACCTTGGAGGGCCTAAGAGCAGGAATATGAAGACTATACATGAACTACTCAACTATTTTATACTCTTCAAGGAAAACTTAACATTTATCAAAGTTTTCCCGTGAAAGATTGAATTTTATTTTTCCCTTTCTAGGGCCAACAATGACTCCTGCTAGCATGAGATTCTATCTCTGATTCGTCGGGAAGATTGTATACCACTCCTAAAGCCACGTGGTATATTTAACAAGATTAAATAAAATATTTAACCATCACATCAATAGCCTATTGTAGTTATTTGGGTTAGGCTTTATCAGTTAAAATCAAAATTAGTTTTATGTGAGGAGTCAAATTTATTATGCACAATTTTGTTTTCACAATTTATGGTTTTGCTATATTTGATTTGCTTTCTAATTTTTAATTCTTTGATAATAATTCCAACTGGTGCGTTTTTTGTGCTTCTTAAGCTTTGTTTTGTACATGCTTTGGACCTTCTTGGCCTATTTTTTACTACCATCGTTATCGTCATCAATTTGGTGCCAACTTTTTGGAACCAAGTTTAAAATATGTAGTTCATTTTCAATAAGAGCCACTCGTACTATTTCAAATATACTCATTTTTCATCTTATCCATCATAATTTTATCACACGTCCTTCTTAACATTCTTACTTTTACCACACTTTTGACTTATTTTCAATGAGTTCTATTTTACTCAATATTTTGATCAATATAGTATAATTGTATTCGCAGTTTATAAAATCTTCCATTATTTATTTATGATATTTTGTCTTGTAGTTTTTCTGAGGATTTTTTTGAAGTCATATAACTTTGACTCTAGTTGTTCTCAACTATAACTTTGTTCAAGACATGTAAACATGCCACTTTCTTTAAACCAATATTTAATAAATAATAATTATTAATTTCACATCCACTTCAATTACTTATCATATGTTTAGTATTTGTTATGTAAATCTAGAAAGTTTTATCTATTTTTAAACTTTTTATTTTAGAAAACATCTTAACTTGTTAGTTTACTACCACTAGGTGTTATGATCCACATTTTTGATCTTTTAATGTATCCTTTACACACGCCTCTTTTCTTTATCCATCCGATCAATTCTCATACATATTTTTAGTATTTAAATGTATCTTTTACACACATATGTTCTCTATGCCAGTCGATCAATACTCATGCTACTATTTAATGATGTTAGGGATTATATCATGACCTTTTTGTTGGTATTTATAATTTTCATTTGTTGTCCTAGTAGAAAATCACCACCATTAATGATCTTCCTGGTACAAAACCGAATTAAAATTTTTCAAAATATGTCATCTTCCTGGTATCGTAGCTAACCAACTTGAAACACTGTTGCTTGAGCGAGGCTTATGATTAGTCTCGAGTTTAACGTTTTGGTATTGTATGATCCAATTTTTATTTATGTGTATTAGTTTACATGTTTCAAGTTTTTACATTCTTTTTATGCTCTGCTTTGAAAATTTGATAATGGCAATGACCAAGCAAAATATTCATCTTTGTTTATAAAGACAATTTATGTGTATATTGCAGTTTAATTTCACAATTGATTGCCATTGTTGACGTTCTGATGCATTTACAGGTCGTCTGTTCCCTTTGAATCAACGGGCAACACGAACAATTAGAAACCTTCACATTGAAAATGAGAGGGTAACCTAACCCTTCTTTTCAACCTGTATGATTCTTATTAAGATTAGCTATTGGAAGTTCTGTTAGTTTTTCTTGATGCAGAGTCATTCACGGGAAAAATTATTCTGTGTGGAAACCTGACGGCGAGAACCGTCCGGATTTGCTACCCTTTAGCTACCATTTTGCTGCGTTTTTGTAAATACTTAGCGAAAGGGCAGCAAATATGCATTCATAATTGCGCTTTTGCTGCCCTTTTGCTGAGTATTTGCAAAAGCGGAGCAATAGGACAGCTAAAGCACATCAAATCTGGACGATTCTTGCTGTCCGATCTCCGCATAGAATAATTTCTCCATTCACGTACAATGAACAAGGGGACGGAGGGGGGATTCTCACACATCTTTCACCTGCCATCATAATTTTTGAATGAATAAGAGAGTATTCATTTACGAGGATAAAATCATTTATCCTTACACATCTTACATCATCCAACAACAACAACAACATCAAGCCTTTTCCTCGAAAAACGTTTTACTTTATTTTTTATTTTATGCCCCTTTATCTTAAAGTCCAAAACTACTAATCGATGTTGGGTACATAAACTTTCACTCGGAATAACTTTACAATCTTTACATCATCCATCATAATTTTTTAATAAGATTAAAATAGCAAATATATATCTTAAAAAAGTAATTGCCAAAAATTTAAAGCTAGAACAAATATAAAATAGATCCTATAAACTTTGGAAAGCTATATAATATAAAATTGTATAGTTTTTAAATAAAGTTAATATCATTATTTGATACCGCATTCATGTGTGATAACAAATCCAAATTAACTGCAAATCTTTATTTATAAAATAGAATTAAACAAACTTGTAAGATGACATTGGTTAAACACATTAAAAAAACGAGGAAGCATATTTGGATAGAAGCATACTTTTACAATACGCAGAGACATCGCTTTCTTTAGCTCAAGGTAGAATATTCTTATTTATAGTAGATTTTTGATTTGATACTTAAATTATATTATTTTAATTTACAACATAAGGACTTTAATTTACAAAAAGTAAGATATATAAAGTAATTTACTTTTGAAAACAACATTTTTATGTCAAAGGAATTTTTCTTAACTTTTCCCGGTCAGAGGTGTCTATATTAGTTAGTGGGAATGTGGGATCCACTCGTCTTTGGTTATCTTGTGACTGTTGTCAATTTGTTGGGTGGTTTGATTTTAAAAATTTGTTGCACTTTCACCCATCGTTTTGCCAGTTTCTCATTGTCAACTGATTCATTTTATATGTTTTGAGGAATTTGATCTTCGTGTATTAGGGGTGGCGCAAACATTAATAATTATTTGAAATTTGCTTCTGATATTCTTGGAATTGTTTCTATTTGATTTGTTTCACATCCAGTAAAAATTGATTCTCGCTTCTTGAAAATTGGGTCAATTTAAGGATTCTTATTCGCTTCCTTCTATAATTATCTTCCAAATAATTCTTCTGCTCCCACGTAAATTTTCATTTCAATGTTTTCTTGATCCTTTTGTCCAAAGTTGATGCGGATATATAAGGCCTGCTGTTTCTGCTTGTTTCACGTAATTTGCGAAATAAGAAAATTCCATTTTAAATGTGATTTTATTTGGAAAGGTTTAACGTTGCACGCATTTTCTTATTGTTTCTTATTATTTTTTTTGCTTGCATTTTCTAGCGCGTTAAGAAATTGTGGAAGAAGGTTTCTCATTGATGTGTCAGATAAGTTGTCATAATAAAGTAGAAAAATTTCTTAGTCAGCCAGTTATAGATGCACAGCCCATCTTCTTGCTGTTTTAACTTTATTAGCTTTTGTGAATCAAGTTTTTTTTTTCAAAGTAATTTGTTGGTTGCAAATTAAACTTTTATTTGAAATATGTGGAATTGCTTATGAATAGTTTTTTTTTTTTTCAGGTGATTCTTGAGGGTCGGTGGAGGGAAGGATTTATGGCAATGGTAGCAATTGGTGCCACCAATATTGGTTCTATCAAAGTCTCTTCTTCTCCTTTTCCTTTAGCATGACTTTATACAGTAAATGCGATCCATTAATTGAAATTTTATCTGAATATCCGCTCAGTGAATGCTTAGCTGATTGCTGGTTTTCCTGGTAGCTCCATCATCCATTCCTTCTTTGAACGTCATAAATGCATGTCTGAAGAAACTAAACCAGAAAACTATATATATCTTTCCAAATTAATTTACCTGCTTATATGTTTCCATGCTCGTTGTTTTATGAATGGATACTTGGAGTTGAGGTAAAATGCGTAGCTTAGAACAATTGATCTGAAGCTTCACTTCTAGGGTTTCTCCCTCCCTCCCAAGGCGTTCATTCCTACGTTTTCTATCCGCTTCTGGTCATTTCTAGTTTATTTCTAATGCCTACTTGTACGATTGGAAGATGATCCTGCATGAGCTTTATCACTATTTTTACGTTCGTTTTTTATTTCCAATCTGATTTGTGGTTCTTCCTATATTGATTCGCAAGATTCCTAATTCACAGCTTTACATAGAGCCAGAACTGAAGACTAACAGGCCCAAGCGACAATTACTGCATACAGAACCCCCGGATGAGAAGATATATGAACCTGTGGGAACTGGATTGACGATTAAGAAGGGTGAAGAGGTTAATAATTTATCTTATTATTATTATTTCATGTCAGCTTGCAATTGCCTCGCTTTATGTGAACCATTGGTGTTTTAATTTTCCATTAATTTGCCTCTCAGGTTGCTGCATTTAACATGGGTTCAACTGTAGTTCTTGTGTTTCAAGCACCCATATCAGGATCCTCAGGACAATATGCTACTCCTTCAGATTTCAAGTTCTGTATTCGAAATGGTGATAGGGTCAAAGCTGGAGAAGCCATTGGTAGCTGGAGTGGATCTTAAGCGCTTTGCCTGCCACAGGAAATCAGCCTCGGATTTATTTCAGTCTTTGATTGTGGTAATTTTTATTTTATGAAATCAGAGTCACTTGAGTCTTATGAGACACATGTAATTATGTGCACATTATTTCTATTTTCTCCACGGATTTCTCTAAACAATATATCTAAAATATAGTGTATTTTCTTGCATCCATGCTGTTGTATAACTTCTTTTGAAATGAAACTTTGGAAGATTAATCATACGTGAAAAAAGGATTGTTAGTTATATCATTGGCTATAATGTGTAATTGTTTAAAATTGATTATCTTTTTTTTTTTTTAAATCAAATTTGTGAATCAATTCTCCCTTTATTCTGAGCGACATAGTAAAGGTAAATTTTAAATTATTCATTAAAATAAGGTGGTTTAACCAAGTATTTTCCTATTTCGATTGGATTACATCAAGGATCGGCCTTAAGTTTATATCTTTATGCTTTTGTCATGGATGTTCTCCCTAGGCATTTGCAAGAGGATGTACCTTAGTGCATGACTTTTGAAGATGATATTCTTCTTATTGATAAGATTAAAGAGGGTGTTCAAGGTAAAATTGAATTATGGAGGTCAACTTTAGAGTCTAATGGTTTTTGTTTGAGTAGATCTAAAAATGAATATATGTAGTGTAATTTAGTAGTAATAGATATAGTGAGGGGATTTTGATTTTGGACGATCAAGTCATTAATAAAAGTATACATTTTAGATATCTTGGATCTTTTGTTTAAAGTGATGATGAAATTGATAGGGATATTATCAAAATAATTTAAGTTAGATGGTTGATGTAGAGGAATGCATCGGGCTTGTTGTTTGATAGAAAAGACCCCCTCAAACTTAAGGGAAAGTTCTATAAGATTGTGGTGAGATATGCAATGCTTTAGAGTGTTGAATGTTGGCCATTAAAATAGAAGCATAATACTAAGTAGAAGAGTGGCTTTACCCTTAGAGATAGGATACAAAATAAGAATATAGATGAAAAGGTTGGAGTAGCTCCAGTGGAAGATAAGATTCGAGAGAGTCGCCTTAGATGGTTTGGTTGCCATAGATGGTTGGTTGCCAAAGATGGCATTCTGATGACCGGTAGGAAAATAAAGGTATTATATTTGACTTATCTTAAGATAGGTTGAGGTAGATCTAAAAAGACTTGATTCGAAAATATTAGAAATGATCTTTCTTTATTAGATTTAAATGAGAATTTTATTTTTAACATGACACAATGAAGAAAAATAATTCATATAGCCGACCCCACATGGTGGGATAAAGGATCAATGTTATTGTTGTTTACATGCATTTAATGCATGTACAAGTGTACTAGTAACTAGAAATTACTTCAAATCAATTCTAAATTGAGCCTTGTTTGAATCTTGATTTGAACATGGCTCAAAGTCGAACATCTTGTTCGAACAACGGGGAAGGATTATGGCGAAGGCATTATGGAATTAGTGGCATGTAAGAGAGCTCATGGGAATGGTGGCATATGCCATGGTGCACCAAAGGTAATGCATAGTGAGACCTGCAGCATGTTCGAAGGGGAGTTGATGGGGAAGAAATCTCAAGATCGATCTCTGTGAAAAAGAAGATGTGTTCATAATCAGTATTTCGAACCTTGATTTTTGAATAAAATGTCGATCAAAATGTTCTTCAAATTAAGATTTGAGTACAAATTGTCTTAATCAAATACAAATCTTGAGGTAAAATTTAATTGAGAACTTTAAAGATTAAATTTCAAACCATACGAACATTGATTTTAACAAATTTGTAGTAAAAATTAATGTTTTGATGAGATGTAACCAACTAAACAAAGAATTATCCAATCCAAACTGAAATGAGCCCAATTCAAGTGTTTGGAGCATAATTGAAAACTTTATAGCAATAATTGATGATCAAATTTCTCCAAATATGACATGCTTATAATAGAATTAAGCAGTTCATTGAGACAAATCCATCGATCCTAAGATTGCTTGATTCTAACAATATTTAGGCACATATATGCTAAAGAAATAATTATGATCGAGAGAATATGTATAAGTCTTATGATTTTGTGCTCCTAATTTGCTCTAGATTTTTCATAGTTATAAGGCTTTCCACTCTAAAATCTACAAACAAGCCCTCACTCTTTACATGGAAGAAGGGGAATGGACATTGGGTTAAATATTCATGAGAGCTTTGAGGCTAAAAAACTCGTTGAGCCCCACCGGAGTACCATTGATAAAAAACCCTTATCGCTCGATCACCGCTGCCAGAATTTCATCGTCTAATTATTTGTCGGATGTCCACATGGACGCTATCATCGAATCTCAGCCTAGGTGTCACCATCGGATCTTCATCATCTGATCTCTTCCCAATCATCGACTTTGAACCTCCATTTGGCCACCGTAGTCGGGTCTCTACCCAGTCCCCACTATCTGACTTCCTCCCGACCACCATTATTAGAGCTTTTGTCACTTAGCCGCTGCCCTCAGACCATCATTATCAGACTACGGTCCCTTCGACCTCTTTCGCCCAACTATGAACCTAAGACTAATGTTGTTCAACTACATCCCTCAGACTACTGTCGCTCGTCGGCTACGGTCCTCAAACTTCCATTATCTTATTACAATTTTAAGACCAACATCGTCTGTCGACTACGATTCTTTTACCTTTGTTGCCCGACTACGATCCACCTACCACTGTTGCCTGATTATGGCCTCTCCAACCTCGATAATTTGACTACATTTCCAACTATCACTATTGTCTAACTATAGCCACACCAACCTCTATCATCCAACTATGGTCCCATCGACCTCCGTTACCTGACTATGGCCCCTTTGGCCTTTATTGCCTGACTATGCTCCCTCTAGCCTCTATCGATTGACTTCAAACCTTCCTGTAATATCCATCGTATGAGATCCAAGTAATTATCTACTCCTGATTTTAATTTTAACAGATTTAGTAGTTGTGAGTATGCTTCAGATTAATGGAGAATAGAAGAATTCAAAAATATGAACTGAGAAAGAGAAAAAAAAAAGAAGAAGTTCGAATTTTCTCTACGAGCATTGATGTGCCGAGAGGTGGCGCTCCAATGATGTAGTCTTGATAAAATGAGGAAAAACAAAATTTTAGGAAAGTGTGGCAGCCTGGTGGTGTTTTAATGGTGTTGGGAATGGAGTAGGAAGTTTGGGAGAGTTTGAAAGTTTTATTGGGGGCGCTGTGGCATCAGAAGTTATATCACCTTAGCTTTAGGCCAAATTTTTACTTTTAAAAATAATAAATATATGAGGTCACTAACCTAAGCTTAATTCCCTTCAGCTTGCCAAGGAAGAAAGAAGAGGAGAATGAAGGAAAGAGAATGCAAAAGAGTGGATTTGGAGTTTGAAATCTAATTTTCGTCCATCCAGCCAGTTAGAAAAATTGTCGTTCTTGAGGTAGGCAACCCATACCCTATTTATGATTGAAATTTTAAAGTATATAACGAAAGATATGCTTTCTTATGTTTTAAAAAATTTTCAAAGCATAAACGTTTTTGTAGTATTTTACTCTCTATTATAGACAATTTGATTATAAGAATGCAAAATTTTACCTGTTTGACAACTAAAATGTGGGAGTTTTTTATGCAAGTTGGTATATGATGCTATTTATTTTAAAAATCTTTAATTGCACGTTGCATTGCATTATCATGCTTTTCATGATATCAAGGAGTTTCTGAATTTGAAATAATGACATTCTTAAATTTTCTACTTGAGCCCAAGGTGAAAATATTTTGTACTAGATTATTCTGTTCTTACTTAGAATTGATTTTTATTAGAAGTTTGGTTATGTTCTGATTCTCCTCTGTAGCTCTCTTGAATGCACAACTTAGAAGTTAAAAGCTAAACAAAACTTTTATAAATTTATTTTAGTTTTATTTTGCTAGGAGTTAAATTATGTTATGGAGAAATTGGTGTTGACCTACTGAGTTTATACTCATTATGTTATTTATTACATTCCAAGAAAAGGTAAAGGGTTTGTTTAGTGGACCTAGTTTGAAAGAAAACAGGGAGGCCAGACTTTAGTAGATATTTAGAATTTCATTTAGAATTATGTAGTTCAGATTTAATTTAATTTTGTTGAACTCATTGTAATATGGACTATTGTAATTAATTATTTTGGGAATGAAAGAGAAATTATGGTTTATGCACTCGGAATAATTATTTTATATATTCTTGATTATTAGCTACGTGTGCATTCATCTGGGAAAAAGAAATCTTAGAAGTATAGGAAAGTAGGTTCAAATTCCTCCTTTAGGTCATGGGGTGTTACACCTCTGGTGTTCATCACTCGACTACATCAACTTCAGCCACCATCTCCCAACTATGATTCCTCTGACCTTCGTCATTGGACTATGGTCCCTCCAACCTCTATCGTTAGACTATGATTCCTCTGACTTTCATCACCAGATTATCAGGGGTTGTTTATAATATTATTTGAAAGCTTAAATTGTGCTACAAGCTTAATTTATGAGATAAAAAATATTTTTAAATTTGCTAATCATAGCACACTTTTCAAATTATTTACCTAAATGTCGAGAATGATCACATTTGTAATATACAAAATGTTACACGATGAAAATTTAGCATGTGTAAAGCTGTCACAATTTCTATGTTATGAATTTATAATTTAAAGCAAAAAAAATCTCAAAGTCTCAATATTTTTGAAAATTTGAAATAGACTAAATGTAATCTACCTTGATCCTAAAACAACAAAAAATGGATCAAGGTCCCAAATCCAAACTTTCTGACTGTAAAACTCCTTTCTCTTTCCAACCGTCTGCCTTAAAAGAGGGGATGAAAAATGAGCGAATTTTGATACTTCTATAAAATTTAGACCTACTTCCGCAGTGCACAATCCCAGTGCTGCATCGCTTCCCATTTCCCCAAAAATATGGAGAGCTCAATGCCACAACACCACCTACCTCGGTGCCGTGACGCTCCTAAGGAAAAAAAATCCATATTTTTGGTTCATAGACACTGTCACGCCCCAAGATCTAACTTGGAAAGAATTATTCAATCTATCCATTTAGAAATCTTACCAGAGTTATCTATAGTCTTCAATCAGTAACAAACAGTCCAACAGAATTCTATAATTTAAAACATCAATGTACAATTCTATTCATATCTCAAAAGATCATATACAATACTCAGGATCTGCACAAGGATCACATGAAATGAAATATATCCTGTCCTGAGTATAAAAGAATCACTATAACCAAAAAGAACAA